TTCTCAATTTCTGTTTTTTACAATTTTTCGATATTTTAATTTTTCCATTTTTAAAACTTAGACAATTCAACTTTTCTATTCTTCAGTTTTGCGATTGCTGAGAGCCTTTTAAGGATGTAGCGTTACTGCTGAAAGTTTTCCCATACAATGTATGGAAAATAACTATAAAAATCGTCAATAATGATCTGTATATGCATGATTACCGTTCTAAAATACTAGTATTGCTAATTTAGGACGTTTTGCTAGTGTCAAACACAATTAAAGAAGTAATTCTTAGTGATTTAATTAATTTTTTGCACACAGGCGTTATCTTAGTTGTTTAAAGTTATAACGTAATTTTGTATAATTTTTAACAAGAGGAAGGTGTGTTAAAATTTGTTTTTTAGTACGATAAAATAGTTTTTTTGTTATCAGCTTAATCTTTACCTATTATATTACACGTGTCTTATATTTCATAAGAATCCGTTCAAAAATACCTGAGTTATTGCGCTCGAAAATGTTATGTGTTACACCCGGTGCATATATGTATGTATTTCTTTTTTAAAACTGAAAAACTTCTAATCTATATTTTTAAAATTTAAAGTACCTGACCTACGTATAACTATCATTTATTTCTTGGAAAAACTTGGTCAAGGTGGATTAGATAAAGAGGTTTTATCGGTCACCAACATATAAATGCATCACTCGACTAGATACGGGTATTTACAAAGACAGTGTTTTATGTAATCTAAGTTTTGCATAATTTAATAATGAAAAAAACCACAACGATTTTTTCAGTTTTCCAACATAACTTTGACAGTTCATACAGTGATACACTAATTTCTACGTTTTTTAAGTTGCTGCATTCATCAAAGAAAAATGATTTTGAATACAGATTTAACCTTGCCCTGAAAATGCATAACCATTTCTTTTAGTTTGTTTTAGTTTTTTTTTTTATTTTAAATTGTGTTCATATTTCCAGTGTTCTGTTTCAACTTCACAAATCTATAACTTTCTTCACAGAAACGTTTAACGTAACCGGTGAATAAAGCAATTTTTTTTTGCTTGTGATTTTCATGATTAGGTAGATTAGATAAATTTACCTTTGTACTTAAATATAAATAAAAAGTGAAATTTTTACAAAGACGTCACAATTGAGGTATTTAAAAGATCATTAGACTTGAACTTGAAAACAACTTCAAACACACATTGGAAATATTAGAAATCCTAATTAGATACAGTCATACGGCAAAAATTTAATTTTTACGTCATTTATTGCGTCAGCCGCGTTTATCTTAAAAAACAAAATGAAGTGGCATTTAAGGTAGTTTACAGGACATCTAGATAAATACCATTAGGCAATTAAAAAAAAAATGTAGAAAAAAAATGCATACAACGTCGATATTTAGATACACTAGGATGTAAAATGTACAGTTGAACCAGCCCCGTAGCTAGAAAACTTATTCAGGGGGGGCAAGTTTGTCGACAGAGGGGGCTTCATGTAAATATTTATATTTTAATAATACACTCAGATAACTACTTTATTTTTTCTGAGTTTTTATATTTGAAAGAACATTAAAGTAATTGGAAACGTCGATTTTTTACGCTAAATTTTCGTAAAAACCTGTCGAAGTCCAAAAAATTATTACGGTACTTGGTTAAAATGCTGGTTAAAACAGAGAATGTAGATTCACAAACAGCTGTACTGCATCCAAAAATTTGTGTAGTGGCCATATAGGTAACATCCAATTTGTTTGAGTTTATTTTTTTGCATGTTTAGTACATATTTTAAAAATCCGACTTCGAAACCAAATATTTCGAAAATTTTGGTACGGAACCATGAACTCGTCATGTTTTTTTAAACTCGTCGAGATGTGTATTTCAGAATTTTTTGTCAACTTTAACAAAAGCTCAATTTTTGGAAACCCATATAAAATTTTTGACTTTTCCCAAGCATTTTCGAAAATGACCAAAAGAATTCCTTTGTTCATCTCGATTTCTTCCAAAAATCGTTTTGGATTCAATTTTTTTGAAAATTCTTACATTTTTTGCAGAATCGACGGAAGAAAAATGGCAATTTTTGAGAGCCTGTATCAAATTTTTGACTTTTTTCAAGCACGTTCGAAATTACCAAAAGGGATTCCTTTATTGATTTCGATCTCCAGATGTTGTTTTTGGTTGTTTTTTCGAAAATTCGTACAATTTTTCCATAATCGCCAAAAGAAATATGGTAATTTTTGAGAAATTTTGAAAATTCCAGCTCGAAACCGAGTATTTCGAAAATTTTGATCCGGAACCTTGAACCTGCCATATTTTTTTAAGTTCGTCGAAATCTATATTTCAGAATTTTTTGTCAACTTTTACGAAAGTTCAATTTATGAAAACCCATATAAAATTTTTGGCTTTTCCCAAGCATTTTCGAAAATTACCAAAAGAGATTCCTTTGTTCATCTCGATTTCCAGAAATCGTTTTGGATTCAATTTTTTTGAAAATTCTTACAATTTTTCCAGAATCGACACAAGAAATATGGCAATTTTTGAGAACCTGTGTCAAATTTTTGACTTTTTTTCAAGCACGTTCGAGATTACCAAAAGGGATTCCTTTATTGATTTCGATCTCCAGATGTTGTTTTTGGTTATTTTTTCGAAAATTCGTACAATTTTTCCACAATCGCCAAAAGAAATATGGTAATGTTTGAGAAATTTTGAAAATTCGAGCTCGAAACCGAGTATTTCGAAAATTTTGATCCGGAACCATGAACCTGTCATGTTTTTTTAAGCTCGTCCAAATCTATATTTCAGAATTTTTTGTCAACTTTTACGAAAGTTCAATTTTTGAAAACCCATATAAAATTTTTGACTTTCCCCAAGCATTTTCAAAAATTATCAAAAGAGACTCCTTTGTTAATCTCGATTTCCAAAAATCGTTTTGGATTCAATTTTTTTGAAAATTCTTACAATTTTTTCAGAATCGACGGAAGAAATATGGCAATTTTTGAGAACCTGTATCAAATTTTTGACTTTTTTCAAGCACGTCCGAGATTACCAAAAGGGATTCCTTTATTGATTTCGATCTCCAGATGTTGTTTTTGGTTTTATTTGGTTGAAAAGTCGTAAAATTTTTCAGCAATCGCCAAACGAAATGTAATTTTTGAACTTTGAAACCGAATGTTTCGAAAATCTTGATCTGGGACCATCTAGACCTTGTGTTTTTTGATTGAGCTCGTCGAGATCAACATTTCAGATTCTTTTGTGGATTTTTAGTCAACTTCAACAAAAGCTAAATTTTTGAAAATCTATAAAATGTTTTTGACTTTTCCCAATCGTTTTCGAAAATTAGCAAAAGGGATCTCTTTATCCATTTCGATCTCCAAATGTTGTTTTTGGTTTTATTTTCTCGAAAATTTGTACAATTTTTCCAAAGCCGCCAAAAGAAATGTAATTTTTGAGAAATTTTGAAATGTCGACTTTGAAACCGAATTTTTCGAAAATCTTGGTCTGGGACCATCAAGACCTTATGTTTTTGGATTAGGCTCATCGAGATCTACATCTCGGAACTTTTTGTTGATTTTTTTGTTAATTTCAACAAAAGCTCAATTTTTGAAAATCCATATACATTTTTTGACTTTTCCCAAGCATCTTCGAAAATTAGCAAAAGGGATCTCTTTATTGATTTCGATCTACAGATGTTATTTTTGGTTTTATTTTTTTGATATTTCGTCGAATTTTTCCACAATCGCATAAAGAAATAAGTTTTTTTTAAGCCACTTTTGAGATTTTTTAGAAATTTTAGGTAGAAACCCAATATTTCGTAAATTTTGCTCCGGGAGCATGAACATGTTTTTCGATTAAGCTCATCGAGATCTATATTTCAGAATTTTTTGTCAACTCTAACAAAAGCTCAATTTTTTAAAACTAAATAAATTTTGATGTTTCTTAAGCATTTCCAAAAATTACCAAAAGTCATTCTTTTATTTATTTCAATCTTCAGATGTTGTTTTTGGTTTTATTTGTTCGAAAATTTGTAAAATTTTTCTAGAATCGTCAAAAGAAATAGGAGTATAATTTTTGAGAAATTTTAAAAAGTCGACTTGGAAACCGAATAGCAGCAAGACCTTATGTTTTTTGACTAAACTCGTCGAGATATACATCTCAGAATTTTTTGTAGATTTTCAGCCAATTTCAACAAAAGCTCAATTTTTGAAAATCTATAAAAAAATTTGACTTTTCCCACGCATTTTCGAAAACTAGCAGAAGGGATCTTTTTATTGATTTCGATCTCCAAATGTTTTTTTTTTGGTTTTATTTTTTCGAAAATTCGTACAATTTTTCCAGAGCCGCCAAAAGAAATGTAATTTTTGAGAAATTTTGAAATGTCGACTTTGGAACCGAATTTTTAAAAAATCTTGGTCTGGGACCATCAAGACCTTATGTTTTTTGATTAAGCACATTGAGATCTACATCTCAGAATTTTTGTCGATTTTTTGTCCATTTCAATAAAAGCTCAATTTTTAGAAAATCCATATAATATTTTTGACTTTTCTCAAGTACATAGTAGGCTATGGAATAAAATGTCACATGTTCATTTTTTTTATACGGTCAACATCAACGGTAGTGTGATATTGCCAAATAATATACCCTGTAAGACAATAAAGGTGGGGCGGGTGGGGCCAGTTAATATGCTTCGGCAATCGGCATTATATTGAAATTTTATTACTAATTTGAAATTTATAATGTATAAGTCTTCCAGGGGGGGCAACCACAACTGCTAGGGGGGGCTCAGCCCCCTCTTGCCCCCCCGTAGCTACGGGGCTGAGTTGAACGACGTCGAAACTCAGTAGTGAAAAAATATTAGGAGTAGTTTATTTCAAAATTTTGAATTCCACGTCACATATAAGTAATTTGTAATTAATAAAATCACGCGGAATAATAATTAGACACACTGTGCATGCAATGTGAATTTTATCATTTTTTCACTAAACGAGATGGTTAATTAATTTATTTTATGATTTTATTTTCAGGACTGTGTTATGCAGAATTTGCTGCCAGAGTGCCCAAAGCAGGGTCAGCTTACGTTTACAGTTATGTTTCTGTGGGCGAAATTGTTGCATATGTTATTGGATGGAACTTAATCCTGGAATACGCAATCGGTAAGTACGCACATTAAACAGAAAAAACTGTTTCTATTATTGTTGAAAATTAATTAAAACAAAAACAACGTCTGTCGTAAACTTCTTATCAAAAGCCGTTGAAAACAGATTTGAAGGATAAAACAAGGTAACGTTACCTAAATGAAACAAAACGTTAACGGTTACGACAAGAGTCGTTTTTGTTTTACTTACTTATTAAAAACTCTTGAAAATAGATTGATCAATGTGAAAGTTCGTTAACAATTTTTATTTTTGCTTATTTAGGAACAGCCAGTGTTGCCAGAGGTTTAAGCGGATACATAGACGCCCTTACAGACAGTCAAATCAAAAATGGCATGGAAAGTTGGGCCAAAATGGACATCGATTTCATGGCTTCGTATCCTGATTTTCTGGCCTTTGGATTTGTTATGCTGCTTACAGGTTAATATGCATCTTAAATGCATTTTTTTGCGATTGTTGTTTAACGATGCGGTGTGGTGGATAGAGCACTTTCGTCGTTCGAGGTCTGCATGTTTTTATTTCAAGTTATTTACCTCTGTTACGTTGCAAATTTCGTAACAACAAAGTGGGATTTTCTGACTTTAATATTTAAGCTGTAAATATCAGAATTAATGGTACACTTATTTGAAGTCAAGGTGACGCAATTAACGTCACGCATGTCGTGTGGGGTTAATTTTATAGAAATTCCAAAGAGTTTTTAAAAAATAGTTAAACTATTTTAAGTTAAATATGAAGTTACTTTAACTCATTAATATTGTTATGAAGAGAAAAAAAAACACAGAAAATAGTAGTGCGTTGATCACTTTTTCTTCATTTTTTTTTAAGCTGGTATTTCACTTATTGGAATTATGACGCTTAATTGTATCATATGACAAAAAATTTTTGGTAAGCACACGTAATATAGAGCTAATTGCAAAGAAAAAAAATTGGATAAATATAAGTGTAAAAATCTAAATTTTCTGTTATCTGATCTTTTTAATCATGTGGTACACAGACTCTGTTATTCTGATGTACTGGACTGATACTGTCTTTCAAAATAACTATGGTATTTATTCTCACAAAAGTTCATTAGAATTTTTATTCTGTAGTCGGTTTTTAGTAAAACTAATTTTTTTATCTTCGAACGAGCGGTTTTTATTAAAATCTGTTTAGATACCCTCGCGTCCCGTGCTGCTTCCTCCTCACTGCTGCCATCTAGTTGTAGCGCCAAATTTGAAATTTTAAATGTAGGTGACCACAATTCGGCCAACCTGACATTATGATCGTCCCGATCATATACACAAAGTAAAACATAAGGTACATAACATAATAAGTGACAGAAAACATAAGGTGCTTAAAACTTCAGTCACACAAACATCATAAGTTAGTGAAACATAAAATGTTAAAAACATAAGTCACATAAATCCAATACATAATATAACGCCTAAATAACATAATGATAAGACGCACATAAGTATCTAAAGTACATAAATCACATAAGTAATTAGGACACATAAAAATCATAAGGGTATTAGAGATGAATTAGAAAACCCAATCGCTTAAAAGACGGCTTAAAAGACGAATATGTTAGCGTCAAAACTAGAACGAGGTGGAAACAAAACTAAGAAACACAACATTATGAAATAATGAACAAATGAAACTAATCTCTTTGTAACTTATTGAAGCCAAAGCTTCATATTCTCAGGACAACATACTCCCTCAAATGGGATTTGCGTTACTTGGAAACCTTCAACGTCTGTAATCCAATAACGATCATTGCCTAATGACTTCTAAAAGTTTTTTATTAATATCTGGTGTAACATCTATGTTTTTTATCATCACATAATCACCGACATTGTACGGTTTAGGAGGTCTATGTTTTTGGTCATACATGCGCTTATTGTATGCTTGTAACTTTTCATTCTGAGACTGAGCCTTTTCTCGAACCACGGCTAAGTCATCTTCTTTTCCAGCTTCAGCGCCCAATAAATTTCTTAAAGGATCGCTAGGATCGTTTTGACTAATACCGAACAATAAAACGGATGGAGAATTACCAGTGGATCTACAAAACGAATTGTTAATAGCAAATTCAACTGTTCCCAAAGCTTTCTCCCACTTGTTTGTTAAAATAGCCAATTTTGACAACATTGGTGTTAAGTCTCGATTGATTCTTTCGATCTGACCGTTTGATTTTGGTGACCCCGTCGCGACTTTAATATGCTGAATCATATGTTCTTGAACAAACTTTTCGAACTCATTAGAGGTAAAACAGGATCCCCGATCGGATACAATACGTAATGGTACACTATAGTGCCTAAAATAATTTTCTAACTGATTGATTACTTCACAAGTTTTGGTGCTCTTGACTGCATACAGTTTTACGAATTTAGTGAAACAATCAATGATTTCAAAAATGTATCTTTTACCTGTCGAAGTTTTTTCTAATGGACCATAATGGTCAATATGTATGGTGACAAAGGGTTTATTTCCCTTAGGGATATTGTGTAACTCACTCGGCACAGCGCCACCAATTGGTGAAAAGGTGATACATTTCAAACAATTTCGAACATGATTTTTCACTTTTTCTTTAATACCAGGAAACCAATAGCTGCGTTTTAGATACTCCATAGTTTTGTCCACGCCAACGTGACCGAAATTATCATGACACATAGTTAAGATCTGACTTTCCATCAACGAAGGAACGTAAAATAAAAGCTTTCCTTTGCTCTTTCTATACACTAGTCCATTCCTAAGTTCAAATTTTGTACTTTCGCGGATTTCCAATTCAGACTTAACCTTTTGAATACTCGAATCTAAATTTTGAGAAATAGCTAAATTTTGTTCCAGTGTATTTTCCTCTAGTACTAAAATATTGTTGGCTCGACTTAAAGCATCAACATGGATCATCCGTGTTCCTGGACGATGTTGCAATTCGTAGTCATAATTTTGTAAGAATAGTGCCCACCTAGAAATTCGAACATTAATATTTTTTTTATTCAGAGTAAGCCTAAAACTATCACAGTCTGTGACAATCGTAAAATGTATACCGAAAAGATATATATGAAATCGTTTAATAGCATAAATAGCGGCTAAACATTCCAATTCAAAGCTGTGATATTTAGATTCGGTTTCGGTCGTCCTACGACTAAAATAAAAAACAGGATGAAACTTTCCCGACGACTGTTTTTGAAGTAACTCCAAACCCAGATGTGCATGCATCGCAGTGCAACTCTGTTTGGGTATGCGGATTATACACAGCTAAAAGAGGATAAGAAGCTAATTGATTTTTTACTTGTTCAAATGATTCAAGTTCTTTTTCACCAAACCGAAACTCAACATTCTTTTTTAACAAGTCATATAAAGGTTTTGTAAGGACGGAAAACCCATTTATAAATTTTCGAAAATAACTAGCAATACCAACAAACCTATGAACTTCCTTAGCATTTGTAGGAATTGGATACTGCAAAATTGCTTCAACATTTTTCGGATCAGGTCTGATCCCATCATTGTTTACTAGATATCCTAAATAAGAAATTTCAAACATAAGAAAAGCACATTTATCAATTCGAAAAAGCAAATTGTGTTGGGAGGCTGCACCAAATACTTCTTTCAAAATATCTAAATGTTCTTCGTAACTGTTGGTCGCTATTAGAATGTCGTCTAACTACAAAATAATTTTGTTTGCTCGAATTAATTTATTGAAAACTAAATTAATAAATCTGTTAAAAACTCTTGGGGCATTAGTTAACCCAAAAGGCATTCTAAGATATTCAAATTGCCCTAAAGGTGTGATAAAACTAGTAAATTTAATCGACGATTCTGCTACACGAACATGATGGAAACCATCCTTAAGATCAAGGGTCGTAAAATATCTTTTGTTTCGAAGTCGATCCAGATTGTCTTCTATCAAAGGAGTAGGAAAGTTGTCTTTAATAGTAATTTTGTTTAATTCGCGATAATCAACGCAAAGCCTTAAATCACCTGTCTTTTTTCTTACCAGTACAATTGGACTACAGTAATCAGAGCTACTAGGTCTAATAATGCCTCGTTCTAATAGATCGTCTAACATGTTTTGTAATTTTTCTTTTTCAGAAAAGGATAAACGCCGTGGCCTAAAAGAGATTGGTTGATCATTCTTAACACAAATGTTCATTTCGTAATTACAATCAATCTTTGGCGAGTCATTACATAAATAAAAATTATCATACACTTCCAAAACTTCCACTTTTTTATCATAATCTAAACAAGGATTGATCTGTACTTCTTTGTTACTTTTTATTTCTTCACCTACCTTAAAATCGACATGTAAAATTTCGTCAAAGTTATTTACTTTCTCAAATTCGTTTGAAATAATTTTTAAATGATCTCCTAACGTAAACGTAAAACCCTTGGCATTGAGAAAATCTCTACCTAATATAGCGTTAAAGGACATGGTGCTACTAGGAACTACATAGAATTTTATGGGTAAAACAGTTTCATTAACAAATACTTCCGTGTTAAAAATACCCAAAATATCAAGCTTCGATCCATTCACACCCACGAAATTTAAATTTGGATTTAGACCTTCATTGAAATTATTTTCGGTGACATACCGAACTTTTACAACTGAAATTGGGCTACCTGTATCGATTAATGAATTCAAATTATAGCTACATTCGGTTTGACAATCATCTTTAACATTAATCTTAACGTTTACCATATAGGGATCTTGTGTCTCGGTTGATATCACATTGGTGGTGTTGTCTTCCTTTTTATTCCCTGGACAATTCCTCTTCTGATGTTCCTTTGAACCGCAATTGTAACAGGAACCCTTTTCCTTCACCGGAATTGGACAATTTGAGGCGAAATGGCCCACACCATTACAATTATAGCATCTTCTAATTATGTTCTGATTTGGAGGGGTTTTACTACTGCCCTTCGCTCCTACAGACCCCGGAGAATAAGTTCCTCTGTTTTCGTTATGCTTTCGGAAACGTTGACCAACAGATTGAGTCGAAGGTGTACGGGTCTTTCTAATCTTCTCATAAACTTCAATTTTTTTCTTTAAGTCGACATAAGTTTTAGCTTCATACAACAAAAATTTGTGTTCAGGATCATCGTTGATACCTTGAATGACATACAGTAGACTCGCGATAGTGTGAACTAATTAAGGTAAGCCTTGTTCACATTTACGAATTGTTCATAGCAGCGAGGGTATGTGAAAAATATGTGTTATTATAAAGAACTTTTATTAAACAAAAAACGTAAACTGATACATAAATTTATTTTGAAAAGTAACTTGTAAGTGTTGTCTGTTTTAGCCTCTTTTGAGACTTTTCAAATGCTTTTGATCGTAGTTTTGATAAAATCAAGAAATCTGAGTAATTTGCCCCATTTTCTTTGGCCCAACTAATAATTTTATTAAATGCTTCTACAGCTTCTTCGTGTGAAACAGAATCCTT